TGTGCTCTGCTTTTGGCTGGGGTCCTATGGTAGTCTTCAGTGTATTCCTTGGGGGCTTCCTCTCTACTTGCCAACAGGTCTGTACACTCCGCTTCAAAAGCAAACAATCAGCTTATTTGAATTAAAAACAAAGAACTCCATGACTAATTCACCAAAGCTCGTGATCTTGACAGAGAAAGAACAGCACTTATTTGACAGATCAGAAAGGGAGGTGGCGGTGTTCTTTTCCTCCTTGCTTTTGCAGAATAGACTAAGCTATAGAAAGGTACGTTGCTTATGCTTCATAAACCAATGACATGTTTTGATATTCTTAGCTCATAAGATAATGGGATTTTGCATTATTTAAATATTTTCTATAAACATTTTTTGGGGTGTGTGTTTTTGCTGATAACTATTGGCTTTTAGACTTGTTCCCAGCACCGCCCCCCCCCATATGAGTTGCCTCTTTATTATTGGTTAAACTCCTTCTCTCAAGATTATATATATACCTTTCAGCTACAGAGTTTTAAACTACCATTGCTCATGTGTATTATCCAGGGTAATAGCTCATGCTATTACCCAGGGACTCAAATGCTTTGATCCCAGAATATACTCCATTGTATCTTAGATGAAAATTTCAGGCTTTTCCTTTTTTTGATGGAATAATAGCAATGTTAACAACAACTACAATAACCATTACAATTCATTGAACACCTATTATGTGCAGGATTTTAAATATGTACATAATCTCCTATTCTCCTTATTAATCCAATTCATAGAAGAAGTTGAAGTTTAGAGAGAGTAAATAATTTGCCCAGAGTTCTATAGCTCATAATAAGGAATGTAATGCATTTGGAGAAGATAAATATTGAAGAAACATTAGGAATTTTTTAGGGACAAAAAGGAGAAGCCATGAGGAAACAAAACAAGGATGTGGACAACCCACACCCTTACAAGAACAATGACTTTTAGGAAACCAAAAAAAAAAAAAAAAAAAAAAAAAAAACTTGTAGTCGCAGCACACATATTTTGAGTCGGGAGGTGGGATGTGGGAGTATTGAGACATGGCATCGTAAGGAGTGTGAAGTTGACTTTATTCTCCTTACAAAGAGGAATTGGTGAAAGGGCACAATCAGTTTAGTTTTTAGAAGATAATGGCAATACGGAGGATGCATTAAAGTCCGTGTCTGGCAAGAGAATACCATTAAGAAGTTGTACCATTGAGGTATACTCCGTACTAGGTGTCCAAAGCAAAGCACAAAGTGAGCAATGTATACTCATTGCACTAGGATTTGCTCTAGGAAGCTGCTAGTCATGTCAGACATCTGGACATACAGTATTACCATTTAATAATAATAATAATAATAATAATAATAATAATAATAATAATAGCTAGCGTCTGAGCAACTAGTGTATGCCAGATACTACTTTGAGTTTTTTATAGGTGTTCATTCATTTAGTCTTCACAGGAAGCCCCGTGAAGTACACACAATGAAGTGGTGGAACAGGTGATGACTTCATAGAGAGTGGCCTCCAAATATGCTATTTTGACAACAGAATAAGGTAGATATTTTATTTTATTTCATTTTATTTATTAGTTACTTTAGTTTACCATCCAGTAACACTTAAAATGCAAACTTAGATCTTGTATCTATCATTGTCAACAAGGTGTCATATTTTGTCTGGGAACTCTCTGAAAAGGTATAGAATTCTGTAAACTGCATTTTTAGGGAGAGGCTTAACATTCAAGGAATGATAATTAGATCATATTATATCTGGATATAAAAGAGATATTTTATACACTACCTTACAAGTTCTCACCAGAAAAATAAATTCTGAATGGCTTGAACGTGCACTACTGTCAAGTGGATTTAAAACAGAGTGAAGAGACCCTAAGCAAAGGGTAATGATAGCAATAATAATGATAAATGGCGATGCATTGGGTTAGGATCAGGGTGCACAGTTGGCTGCTTTTATTTAAGATGTCTTGGTAATGTTAAAGCTGCAAAAAGCATTAATAAATGAGTATGTAGTGCTGTAATCTGAAATTGTTTTGCAGATATCTTGGTTCTTCCTCAATGTAATTATATATTGCTATTATTATTTAATTAAAGATAAAAAACCACATCAATTAAGCTACATGATATCTCAAGTATCACAAATATTTCAAGAAATATCATCGGTTGTTTATTGTTATACAAGCCAGGACCATTTAATGGCCAAAGTGAACAAATTCTTAGTTTTCAAGTGAAGAAAGAAGAAAAATGCAAATTAACTGGACTTTCAGCCAATGATAGTAATTTTTTTGCAACACTTTTGTCATTGGAACTTTCCAGAGTCACAAGTATTTAAAACCCCAACCTATGTTAACCAGCTTGTATATAATTTAAAATAGTAATAACAGATAGATGAAAGTGAATTTAAAAGCAAAGATGTATTCATTTTTAGAAAAGAAGATTGACTATTAAATAATACCAATGTGTATATGCAAATTGTCCTAGCTATGACTTCATAATTTGTAATGGTATTCAGCTTGACAATGTTTACACTTGTTAATGACTTCCTTTATGAGTGATAATTGATCTACTTCATTATCATATTAAATCCTTGATCATATGCCATTAGGTTTGATGTAATAAATGATCTGTGTGATTTTTAGTGTAATGAACTAATTAGACTAATTAAAATCAATATGTGTGCCAATATTATACTTTGAATCCAAATGCTCTTTCTTACTGTGCTGGCTTAAAATCAGCAACTCAGTAAAAAGGATCTGATGCTGATTTATGAGCACTTGAGGAACATGAGGCAGAATAAATTGCTTGTGGTGGTAGAGACAGCATTAGTGAAGTATAAGATACTAAGTGCATTGTAAGGTCAGCAATAAGAGTGTACTTACACATGTAGTTATATGGCACCTTAAACCTCCTCTTAATATATCAGAGCATTTCAGCAAAATTATTTAGTTTAAATGCCAGTACGATTACTCTGCACTTGTTCATAAATAACATTGCAAAAATACAAGCATCCCGATTAGGTAATTAGTCAAATATCTAATGAAGATATACATATTTAGTTTGAAATATGTTCTTCAACAATTGATTTATTTTCATTTAGAGTGAAGGAAATGCATTCTAAAGCAGAGGTTAAGTAAAAATCAATGTGTAACTCTACAATCTTAAAGCATCTATTATTCATTCAGAAATCTATAGAAATTATAAATGATAACTTTAGAGAATCTATAGGTAAATTCTTCAAAATTTGGCTCTATGTCACTTCTTTGAGGAATTATTTCCTGTTCTCAACACTATAATATGTCCCTCACTTAAATGCTAACCCAAATATCTTTTCTTTCTTCTTTTTTCTTTATTTACTAAATCTTTAATTTTATGATTGATTGATTAATGATGAATAAATTTCTGGACTGTAAACTCCATAAGAATGGGACTATATCTCTGAATCTTCCCTAAGTAGGTCTAACACAGAGCTTACTCATGAAAAGCAAATACGTGTCTTTAATTTTCTTTTAAAAATCTGTAAGTTTATTTGGTATTTCTAAATTTGAGTAAATTTTAGATTAGTTTAATGGAAGCTAAATATCAGACCCCATTATTCAATAGATACCTGCAATTATTTTTTAGTTTTTTATTTTATTTTTTTTTAGATCACATAGCACATTTTCTCCTCAGAATCTATCACACGCCTGCCATGTTTGTTTCCTTTGAGAACCGGTAGAAGTTGAAAATACACAAGGAAGCTGAATTGGAATGTGGAATTTTGGACTTACTCATTTTATGTCAGATCAACAGTTACTCACTTTTTCCCATTTACTTGATTTACTTGATATAAGGGTTTATAGCTCTCACCAGTAAATGGAACCAGTACGTAATATCTTTGGATATTTTCCTTAAAGACTTTCCTACTAGATTTGTTTTACCTGTGTCTCTGATGATCTTAATATAGGTAGGCATTTAATGTAAAAGTTGCATGCTGGGAATAATGTTTAGTGATTTGACTGTGAAGCAACATAAAAGAGACTCTCAACGCATTTTCTCCAACCCATTCAGAGCCTGTTTCTCCTATTTCTTTTTCCTTCACATTTCCCATGGCTTCCACTCATCATTTGATTATTCATTCATTCATTCATTCATCTAAAAACAAATGTATTTATCGAAATTTCATACAAGGTACTAATTTGGTTCTCTGATAATATAGGGCTCCCAGTTCAAAGCTCTTTCTCATCTAGGAAGAAAGATATGTACATAAGTAGTTCCAATCTAAAATGTGTATGTAAAAAAATGTATATGTAATAAATCTTTGAGAGTCTCAAATAAATTGCAAGGAAAACTCAAAAAGGGGTCAATGACTTCTAGCAGGGTAATTTGGGAAGGCTTTGTAATGGAGGTAGCATTCAAACTGAACTTTGATGACTGGGAATAATTTTGCCAGGCTGGGATAAGAAGTGACTGAGCTAGAGAGAATGAAAAGCATAACAATCTGCCTATTTTAAGATGAGGTGAGCTGTTATAATCCAGACTAATTAGATGGATGGAGGCAATAGTTTAAATTAGCACAAATATGAATTATAGATTATTCCTTTCTATTGCTTTCAAATACCTGAAATAATTGGGAATTTCATGAATTGGTAACCAATAGAGATTCTAAGTAATTTTTTGTAAATGAAATATAAGTGTAAGTAATATTATAGGTGGTTGAGAATTTCTTTTTTTTTTTTATTTATTTATGATAGTCACAGAGAGAGAGAGAGAGAGAGAGAGAGAGAGAGAGAGGCAGAGACACAGGCAGAGGGAGAAGCAGGCTCCACGCACCGGGAGCCCGACGTGGGATTCGATCCCGGGTCTCCAGGATCGCGCCCCGGGCCAAAGGCAGGCGCCAAACCGCTGCGCCACCCAGGGATCCCGGTGGTTGAGAATTTCTAACTTATAATGAGAATCTTAAGGAACACTGATTTCTTTTTTTTTTTTTTTTTTTTTTTTTATTTATGATAGTCACAGAGAGAGAGAGAGAGGCAGAGACACAGGCAGAGGGAGAAGCAGGCTCCATGCACCGGGAGCCCGACGTGGGATTCGATCCCGGGTCTCCAGGATCGCGCCCTGGGCCAAAGGCAGGCACCAAACCGCTGCACCACCCAGGGATCCCGGAACACTGATTTCAAGCCATGGATTCTAATATTTTATCACATAAGAAAAATGCAGTTCACCAGATTTCCTTGGAGGTGGAAGGTAGGGAAAATGGTATTGACAGATACATTAAAAGGAGACTTGTAAGTAGTGCTCTTAAATCTTAGGCAAAACCTCAATATCTAACATAGGCAAGCATGGATCTCCTCTCATTGAAACTAAGACCAATCCATTCTCTTGTCTTGCTTCTTATTTCCAGAGTTTAAAGGCTACTTACTTTTCTGCTCAACTCAGGAGGAAAAAACTTGTACAGGTTGGACTATGCTGATATGTGGAATTAAGTCAGAGCACTGGTAGCTGCAGGTAACTACTCAAACATGCTTATTATTATTGTTGTTGCTGTTATGTTTACATGGAGGTCCAGGAGAAGACTGATTACTCAGTCGTGACAGTGTTGGGTCTCATGATTTTAAGCAAATAGCTTTGACTTTCAAAGTCTCAGCAACATATTTAAAATGGAGGTTCTGAGCTAAGCTGAGAGCTTCCCTGTCACCCCAGTTATATTGTTCTATGAATCCACTAGCGATAGTAATATTTTAACCCTTTGGAAATATTCATTTTTTTAAAAAAAAACCAGCATTTTTAAGAGAATGATCCTCTAGTGGAATTAAAACAATATGATATATTGAAACAATGTATTCATGAAATAAAATATAAATGAAATTTGGGGATTTGTGTAATACATTGTGTAATGTTTTGTGTAGGGAGACTGCTATGTAGATAAGGTCTGCCTAGAATCTTCTTATAGTCAGAGCTCATGTTCTTAACTGCATTCTTCGCTATTTAATGTTAATAAATAACCCACACCAGTTTCCTAAATTTCTTCTTCTCCTGTCCTTGTGTGTCTGTATCTGTTTCTATCTTTGTATCTGTTTGTCTCTTGCCCTTCTGTCTCTCAACAGATAACTAGGCTGGAGGGCAGAGGTTGGGTAAGCAAGATGCTTTACTTTATCTGACAATACTTTAAAACGTTTTTCTAATTAGGCATACCTTTCAATCCAAATGTGTTTATTCTGATAGAGAATTTATCACTTATTTGCATTACTAAGTCTTCAAGGAAAAGAAGCTACATTATTTGTGTTTAACTACTTAATGTCTCTGCTATGATTTTTTTTTCACAATTGTTTACTAAATGTCCCTGGTTTGTTTTTCCAGGCTGTCCAGAAGTCTTTGACTTTTAATTGTGGTTGCTGAGAAAAAATAGAATGGCTGGATATTTTGCTTCAGGGCCAGTCTCTGTCATTCGATTCCAATAAATGAAAATAGGCTTAATTAACAAAACAACAGTAAATACTGTCACTGTATGATTATGGACTTTTGTGTTTATTCCTTGCCATGTGGTGGGTCAGAGGTAGGCTGTGTGTAGATGTTAAACTGGAAAAACCATTGCACTTAGGTCATGACCTTGGGTTGGTCTTAGCCCTGCTAATTATTAGTTGTGTGATCCAGAGCAGCTCATTGAAAAGTGAAGATGATAGCATCTTCCATGCTATAGCATTTTAGGGATGGTGTAAAATACTATATGTAAAAGCAAGGTATAAACTCCAAAACACTGTAGAAACTTAATATTTTATTATTAATTCTTGTGACTAATAAATTTCATTTGCATATTTAAGCCTTGAACAAAATACATGTTTTTATATTGATAGAACATAGAGGATGAAAGTTTAAAATTATAATCTGTGTACCAATGAGTATAAATAATAAAAATAAACTCTTTTCTGGGGGATCGCTGGTTGGCTCAGCGGTTTAGTGCCTGCCTTCGGCCCAGGGCATGATCCTGGAGTCCCAGGGTTGAGGCCCACATCAGGCTCCCTGCATGGAGGCTGCTTCTCTCTCTGCCTGTGTCTCTGCCTCTCTCTCTCTGTATCTCTCATGAATAAATAAATAAACAAAAAAACAAATAAATAAATCTTTAAAAAAAGTCTTTTCTGTAAAAGAGCATCGAATAATGGGAAAAGCCAAAATAGAGGTTCCAGAAATAATATATTTTATCTTAGTTTGGACTGAGGTTGAAAAATATGACTTGATTTTGCTATATGTTTATGAGTTTAAAAATGTTCAACCCTCTAATATCTAATGACTTCTATGTTCAAAGTAACATTTTATTAGCTTTTAAATTAATGGCATGAAACAGACAATTATATATTTTTCTAGAAAATCAAATATATATGCAGAGAGAAAAACAGAGAGGGAGAGAGTGTGATTAAATGTATTCAACATTCTAATAGAGATGATAAAATTATACAATTTCATTTATACCTACATTAATTTTGAATGGGCAAGTGTTGTTTTTACTTTTTGTCCAGTAAAAATATTCAAAAGGAGTTTAGCCATACAAATAATTTCAATACAATATATCTTACTTTTTAGTATTGGAATTTCTATGGAAGTCAAGGAAAACTTTAATAGTATAGATTGTGGCTCTTTAACAGGTCATTCTAAACTCAAAATGTAGCTGGAATTGAGATATTTTCCAGTTGAACACATACACTGAATTCAGATGCTACTGAATTTAGTTGCATCTTAGTTTTAATATATTACTTTCCAAGAGACATTTTACAAAAAGAATTCAAACCATGAACATTTTATTGTTTTGTATAAGTACAGTTTGCATATTTTAGAATCAGATTTATTTATGTATTTATGTATTTATTATTTCATTTATTTATTCCAGAGAGAGAGCACACGAGAAAGGGAGAAGGATACAGGGCTCCATCTCAGGACCCTGTGATCATGATCTGAGCTGAAACCAAAAGTCAGACACAAGAGTCAAACCATGAAACACCCAGGCACCCTGGGAGTAGATTTATTTTTGATCAGTTTTTATATTTATTTTAATTCATAGACATCTTTCTTGTTTTCTTTTGTATGCTAAGTAATATGTTGTGAATTTTTGAGACACACTGATTTTCATTTATATCAATAGTCATGCAACTTTCAAGAGCTTTTCTTGATGACCCTATGCAGGACCTGATCATTACTTTTTGTGTCCAATGGTACTTCATCCTATCTCTATTCTAACAGTTATGAATAATTTCTATACTGTATACATGACTGTATCTTCATAGTATATTCCAAGTTTCTTGAGGGCAGAGCTGTATCTTATTGTCCTCACTATTCATGGTATCTCGATTTGGGCCTGATATTTGGTAGTTGGTCCAACAACGGTTTTGGAATAAAATAATGAAATGGGGAATAATCTTTAAAAGATTTCATGTATTGCTGTTAGAAAAACATTACTAGCTGAAGAAAGAATTCCAGCTTTCCAAAAACACATGCCTGACAAATACCAAAATCTTCATGTGTGTTAGCAACAAAGTCTTTTCATGTATTGACTCTCATGTATCTAAATACAACATGCCACCTGATATTTTTATATATAAAAGTTACTGCAGTGATCCCTGGGTGGCGCAGCAGTTTGGCGCCTGCCTTTGGCCCAGGGCGTGATCCTGGAGACCTGGGATCGAATCCCACATCAGGCTCCCGGTGCATGGAGCCTGCTTCTCTCTCTGCCTGTGTCTCTGCCTCTCTCTCTCTCTCTCTCTCTCTGTGACTATCATAAATAAATAAAAATTAAAAAAAAAGTTACTGCATATGTGTAACATATATTTCCCAGGATTGTTTGATGAAAATCCTAAAGAATTGAAGCATTGAAGAAAAATTTAGCTAAGAAAGTATTTTATAAACTGCTAAATGCTATGGAAATGTAGTACTTAATAGAAGAAATTAGTAGAAGTAATAGCAGTGAGTTATCACTGTTATTATTTTAAGTTATTCTACTGAGATATACAATACTCGCTCATATCAGCCAGGCTTCTTATCACATTCACAATATCATATTTATTATTAGTTTCATATCTGGAATACCTACTCATTCTCTTGCTTATAATGAAGTTTGCATAAACTCATTTTGTGGAATTTGTTAGCACTAACTTCGCAGGGTATTGGTCATCTTTGTCACTATTGTGTTTGACACATAGAACCCATGTTTGTCCTTTTTCTGATAGTAACAACCTAAAAATTTGTTTCAGTGTTATTGGAATTATAAAGTTTACTGCATGTACCTACCTTGGGTGTGTGAACCAAAGTAGGCCATTTCTTGTTCTTTTTTATTTATTTATTTATTTATTTATTTATTTATTTATTTATTTATTATTTAAATTCAATTTGGCAACATATAGCATAACATCCAGTGTTCATCCCACCAAGTGCCCTCCTCAGTCCTCATCACCCAGCTACCCCATCCCTCCACCGACCTCCCCTTCTGCAACCCTTTGTTTGTTTCCCAGATTTGAGCTGATTCATCTTAGTGTCTTAGACTGGCCCCCTAGTTCTCTAAATTGTGTGCTTTCTAATTTAGTTCTTTAGCTTTTTAAAAATCTTTTTGATGTACCGGGAACCTTTTCTGATAAATCTCTTGGTATAAGTTAATTTGGTTATAGGATGATAGAAAACCTTAACTGTATCTGTTAGTATTATGACTATTTTTACCTAATTAAAGGGAATGTAATTTTTAACTCCTTTTGAATACTCAACAGGCTTTCCCATTGTGTTCTCTTTTGTATGTATGTGTACTTATGTAATGCTGAGTGAATAATTTATCAATAAATGATGACTGATTCAAGTAGAAATAGCAGGAACATGAACTTTACATTTTATGGCATATTTCCTGTGGCATTTAAATTATAATATCCACCTGCATTCACACTGTTAAAGAGAATGACTCAAAGTAGCATAATTGAGAGGAAATTACTTTCACACTTCCACACTTTCCATGTTTAATAACAATCAGACATAGAATTGTTGTTTCCTAAAGTCAAAATAACTATTAGAGGTTTATGATCCAGTTCTCTTGAGTTTAGAAATGACTTAAATTTCCAACTAATAACATCACTATTTCTTTTTTGGGGGTCACAAAATCAACACAATATTTAGGTCAGATTTCTGAAGCTATCTTCTGATCAAAATGGTATCCAGTTGTGATTTCATTGTCTAGTTAGATTGTATTTTAGTTTTTGATATTTTCACGGAGAGTGTTCTATTATCTTTTTTTTTTGGCTATTACCTATGTGTATATGAGGATAAAAGTAAGCAAATTATCACCTCATAAATTATGTTAATAAATTATGAACAGAAAAGATACCAGGAAAAACAGAAATTTCATTTCTATGTATGAATTCCAAAAACAATGTGAAATTTTGCCTGAAAAATTAGGCCATATTTGGTGGCCTTTCAAATTACCTGACTTGGGAATGTTAAAAGATTTTCTTTTCTCTTTGAAAACGTGTTAAAATATGCTGCTCAACTTAAGGAGAACTTAGTGAAAAGTTCAGTGACTTTGTTTGTTGCCTGTGCCATTTTCATACTTATATTGAATTATAGCCATATTGTGTTTATTTATGTTATGATTATTAGTATCATTATTTTAAATTTGTGTCTCACTGCTTGCAGACTTCCTCTTGATTGGTACAGTGTGACAACAGGTAATAGACACAATAGCAGTAAAACAGTCATCATCACTGCTGGGATGAGAAACCCCTCCTCTTTGCTTTTTTTAACCTTCCTCAGCTGGAAAGTTTTGACATCTGCTGGTTTGGGACATGGCTGAGCAGCTGTCAGCAGTGGGGTAGCTGCTTTCAGCAGCAGTTGGCGGGATGGCAGGGTGCCAGCTTGTACCATCTGTGCGCCTGACATTTCATTCTAATTAACAGTAGGGTTAATTGTTCTGGCAGGCTCAAATGTAGTGTCTAACATTACCCCAGGGAAACATGTACAAGTGCAGGAGTGGCAGGGAGCTGGGGACAGCATCGCTAACAAACCCATCGAGGGAGAGCGGTTAACAACTACCTATGATTTTACTAGCTGGCCACATGCAATAAGGTTGAGGTATTTTTTATTCTGATGAATTATGCCAAGCCTGTAATGATGGAGAAGGAATCAAGCTTAGAAAGGCTGAGACTGCTGCCTTAGGGCAATTGTGAGGGAACAATTTGCATGTTATTACTGCATATTCATACCTAATTGTGTTAGGCTTTGCTAATAGAGCAGAATGACAGTATGAAAAATCGAGCAACTGCTTTAGAGGCAACAAAGCCAATGTTTTTTTTCTTCCTACACTATGAGTGCTGAATGATCATTTAGACATTTAGTTGCTCAATATGACAAGTCTACCATTTGTTAGCTTGACATATTATAATTTATAAAGCAGTATTCTAATTTTACTTTTAGTTTATTCTTCTCATTTTATACAATATTCATGATAGCAATTTGAATGGGGATATTCATAGCTATTGTGAGTAGTTGTGATTCAAATAAAACTATATTTTGTATGAAGCATTACCATTGT